CGCAACCACGGCCCTTACTATTCGCAGGATTCGAACCTAGGGCCTTCGATCTTGCGAGCGAACGCTCAACCTGGCATCAAACGGCGTTTACGTCTAAATCTGATCAACTTAAGGATTTTCGCACAACCTCCACCATAGTAATAATGCCTCTATACAGTTTAAAGCACTTTCATAATAATGTTCAACAATTACCAATTTTAGAAAGCATTTTCCACCACTGAATTAATCGGCTCGAGAAATTTTTTATCACCATAAATATAGAAAATATGTAGGCTGCTGAAATATTGATGATGATTATGGCTTTTTTAATTATTTAAATTTAATTAATTAATTAATATTAATGATATAAAATCTCGTAGATCCAATTGTAAAACTTGGAACGTATGTTTGATTTTCTCTCTTTGTCTACTTTTCAAAACAATTTTACTCTTTGCATATAATTAATTAGTAATTGTCTTTTGTGATTACGTTGGTCTTGGTGTTACATGTTTGTGAAGAAGAAAGAATTTGTAATTAATGAAAACAAAGATAAGGTTAGCTGGTTGGTTGACATGTCTTATAATGAATGAATGTTTTGACGTGCTTGCAATGATATATATATTGGTGGGGGGGGGGCTGGGTATGGATGGTGTATATGGTCAGTTGATTGGAAATTTCACATGATGGATGGATGATCAGTTTGTTCACACGATTAGTTAATGATGATGACTACTCAGGTGAAAAATAACGATATTTATGAAATACAGTTTTATTTTGTAAAACAACATAAAAACACAAAGCTATCCAAAGGTATAGTTTGTCAAGAAATGATATCTCATCTGGAGTACGATGGAAATGGAGAAGTAGTATTGGACAAGTGAATTGTCCTGTTTAAGGAGATACAGGAAACGAGAGGAGTAGCCGGTACTCCCATAAGCACATACATGAGGTTTTGTCGTAAGCTTGATATCTTAAGACCATTAGGTCTTGATTAAATGGAATGTATTTTTAGCTCTGATCAATTTGTAATCTAGAGCGATCTTTATTCAATGTTTAGAACTTCAAATATTTCATCAATAGCATTCTAACTGGTACTAATTTTTTTAAAGATGGAACTAATCTTCATACTATAAGTAAGCTCCATACAGACCGTTTCTAAAAACACAGTAAACTACAATGAACTATGATGTACATATGTTTTACCAGATGGTATTATGTTATACTCAAGATATAAAGTTAAAGATGCGATTTTAATTTTTAACGCGGTAGTGTAGATGAAGAAGAATGCGAATAGGAGACTATGTGTTTAATAACTAAGAGTCACAAATTAAAATTCACTAGTCACTACTATTATGCAAACAGATATAACATGAAAATCAGTAATTGCATCTAGAGAGATGTGCATCAACTTTAGAATCATAGACCAGATTGAAAAAAAATTGACAACTATTCAATGGAAGACAGTTGATTTTAATTATGGATAAATGATATTTTGTTAGGTAGTGAAGTAGCCAAAACCGTTACGGAAAAATATTTAATCATATATACTTCACAGTTATAGAAATCTTTATTGGATCTATCTTTGTTGTTTTAAGGCAAGTGAATTTCGATCAGTAAGTTGTGAATTTAAATTTCACTGGACACTTATAAGGTTTTTAAAAAAGTTATTGCTATGGACAATTTTATTATTACTATCAGGCGAATAGCTCTTAGAAATTAATGAGTTAGTTACTAGGAGTATGTGGGTGAAGCGAATGGAGCAGGTACAATTCTAAGTTGTTTAACTAATTCAAATTTATAATTAGCTTTCATTAGTTATAAGTTTACAGAATTTACAGGTGGTTTCAGGCTGATTATTATCACCTACAATGCTCCTCCATTTAATGATATCATTAAGATTGTAACTTAGTGACATTAACGAGGCAATCCGCTCATCACGGTAAAATACGTCATACGAGACTGATCAACTGCAGTTCATGATATCAAGAAAGGAAAGATTTTTAACATTCCTTTTATATAGGAAAATAAAAAATCACCCCTATTGGACAAGCCAATGACGATCTGAATTCAGTATCTGAATGGCTAACGCGTCGATCGTTTGTGGCGAAACGTATTAGGCTAGAGTCCCGGTGTGAATCCTGGAGCGTGGATAAATTCAGCAGACGAATCCCACATAGGATGTGAAACGCGCATTCTTGGTTCTTGGTTTCAACCACTAACTAGATGAACAGCTATAATTATTATCAATATGCACTTATCTTTATAAATTCATATATTGGGAAGAAAATGTCCTTTAAAAGAATCGTTTTAATCAGATCAACTAATAAATGTGAATACTTAAATATTTTACAGCTAAAATTCTCTAAATGATAACGAAAAGCTAAGCCAAATAGATTTTGAATAAGTAGCTATTGAGAACTCAAACTACGTTCAACAATGAGTGCATCAGTTAGCATAGATTACATATCTATTGTGTTAAAATATTTTCAGTAAACTGTTTAACTAAAGTATTGTGATTGAGGATTTATCTTTTCAGAACGTATACATACTGCCGTATAAAAATACTTTCATTAAGTAATTGCAACACACACACACTAAAATATGTTATTAATTTGTACTAGACTATTCTGTGACTGACCGATACAAAGTAAAATCATTACAGAGTTCAATGCATATTAAAGCTTATTATATCACTTGTTCTATGAGATAGTATAAGTCTAAGAGAAATACTACGTAAATCAAAACCATTCCAAATAAAACACATTGTGCAAATCACATAGCTTACATATTGACAAGGTATGATTTAATTAGGGTGTTGAAATTTCAGCCTTTTTGGTCAAACTACTTGAACTTTTCTCTACTCTATTTAAATGGTGACTTGATGCAAAGGTATATATAGTGCTAGAAAACCTCACTGGATAATTTGAATTTCACGATAACAAATACCATATGAAGGACAAAAAATCAATTCATGTCATAAATTGAAAATGGCAAATTTTCCAGCGACTAGGTCATATGTACTAAAGATTATTTACAAAACAAAATAACCTCATTGATGATGTTGAATAATGGTCTGCATAAAATAATGAGTTCTAATCAAAAGGTTAATACAAACCATTGTGTCGTAATTTTTGTGATAGAAATAATAGGGATAATAATAACTATAATGAAAACAACCTTATGAGTAGAGCAACAAGAGTATGACGTAAAGTAAGAAAGATAAGTGTATAAGGTCAGCATGGAGCTGTGGCGTTTCAAATTTTGTTGAAATCACGAACGGAAATAAATTAGACAACCATTGAAAACCTGAAAGCACTGGGTACATGTTTCGTTCCAGTATGGAATTCCCCAGAAATGCACATCGACAACCCTGAAGCCGAGAATAGAACCGAGACTCTTCAGTATCATGTGTGAACACATAACATCTAGAGCAGTGGGTTTGCATAGAAAAAAACATATTTTAGCAAGGAGTGAAAATCACTATGAACACAGAGAGTATACAATCGTTTTCATACATATAAAAGTTCAATGTCTTCGAATTGGTGTCATTGGCTTCGGTTGCAACGAGTAGGTATAACCTTGCTCAAACATGGAATTAATTTTACTTTAATCTATTTTGTCGACTGTCTCATTGTTCTTAAATATTCGGTATGATTTTTGAAATACTATATAAGCCAGAAGGCTGAAAGTCAGGATTCTGATTAAGTTGAAATGAGCATTATTATTTCAACTTCTTAACGTTGGTTCAGGAACTTGCAATAATTTTTCACTTTAGGAGCTTTCCAGTTATTGACTAAGCAACTGTAGATTTCCTATTTCATTTTCATATTATTGATGGTAGATTTTACATAAAGTGAGAGCAAATAAAATTCATGCATATGAAAACAAATAATAATAATAATAATAATAATAATAATAATAATAATATTCTGAAGGTTATTTTGTGCAAGCTAAATTAAGACAATCAATTGTATAAAACAAAAATAGATCAGATTGATCAGTTCGATAAAATCCAACTGTTAGAACGTGTTTAAACATGAAAATGTGATAAAATGTAATAAAAATTTTTTTTGTGTTCAATAGAATAGGCTGTAAGTAGCTGATAAGAACTTGGCGAAATAAAATGAATTCATAATACCTCTACTCGAATGTTTGTTGTTGCTCACTTCAATAATCTAGTACTTAAAAAATCCTACTTGATTTATCGATCAACTCCTAATACATCGCATCACTACCAACATTATGGTAAGCGAAGGAGTATTGAAATTCAAAGTCTAATGGTTGAACGTTAGGAGGGAAACAATCAGTGAGGTACTATAGTCAAGAACAGTGATGTTTAAATAAATCAAGCAATCAGTTATCAGAGTACTTCACATTTTCTTGGTATCCGTATTTGACTGCATAGTATAAATGAGTTTATCGATACTACTGAACAGTAAGTCATTCGAACTGAGAGTGACTCAGACCTGTGAACTGACGGGTAATAATGGAAACATCTGTCAGCACTAATGCAGCATGATTGTATAAAATCCCACGGCAAGCTTACACTTATACAGAGATTTTAATTTGTCATTTAGTTAGACTGCGGTGAGAATAGATGATGCATGCACAATATTATAGAATTTTGAAATGTAGATAACTGGATGTTATTCCAGTAGTCTAGTAGTAGCATACTTGTAGCGAGCTCTGTAAGTCTAGAGATCGTCAAGATGCACTTTTAACGATCCTTAAAATAACTTCCTAACGTTTCTCAATTTGCAACAATTCCACAGCTGATAACAGTTTGTGAGGAGAACTTAGATAATTGCTACAAAATCTCTTTCTTCTCTGTAATGTGAAATAAATTTTTTCCTAAATGATAAACGTGTCCATTATTTAACTGTATTTTGAGATAGAAATAACATGATAAAATACCAGCTATTTGCTTAGTGAGTTACACTTAAATAAAAACACATTCATTTGACGTAAATGAATAATAATGAAAAACATAGAGGGATGATAAAATTATCAAAGTAACTCACGAGTATTTGCATGATATGCTTCAACAGATTTCACAAAGATCATTGCATTCCTTTCAGCATAATCAACAAATAACAATTGTAGTTTGAGAGCAGTTTTCATGACAAGTCGAAACTAAAACAAAATTATGATTTTATTTCATTAGTCATTGTTAGCCCACAAACAATTTCACAATGTTGTGATAGATTGAAGAAAAGGAACAAGTAGACAAAAATAATGAAGTAAATAAATGATATCAAATGAATGTCATTTGTCTTAACGAATAACACCAAATATAATAATTAATATATATATATATATATCATTTGGTAGTAGGCTTTTAATCGAACTGAATAAAATGTGTAGGTAAAACAATTTAGCGATTTTTATCTTGCTTTATAGACTAGGTTTGAATAATTGTCAACGCCAAATACTGCGGATTCGTTGGCTAGACACCATCAGCAACAACCTACTGTGGGAGAGAACAAACCAGATTCCAGTAAAGGAAGAAATCAGGAAGAAGAGGTGGAAGTGGATAGGACATAAACTGTGGGAAACACCCAATCGCGTCACAAGATAAGTCCTCACTTAGAATCCCTAAAGTCAAAGGAAAAGAGGAAGACCAAGAAACACATTAAGCCGAAAAATAGAGAAAAATATTAGATTACTGGTCGGCGGCCTGTACTCCATTAGGACCAACAGGAGTAAGTAAGATATAAACCAGGCAGGTAGCAAAAGAGAAAAGAATTGCTCAATTTATAATATAAAGAATAGTTTTTGCTGGAAGAGTTAAATATCGGTTTGAGTATTAAACATTGGAATCCGGAGTATTTTCAATAGATGAGTTCAAAAAAAGCAAAAATAAACATGACAAAATGCATAATCTGCACTGCATTGCTCTCAAATGTCCGAAACGTGATAAAAATCTCTTCGTGTCCTTTTCGATAAAAAGTTTGGCAATTTGGATTGACCACGTAATTGTGTCATGTTTCATAAACCTTTTTCTAATTTAGTTTGACAAAATACTTTGAAAAATTTGGAACTTGTTTACTGGAATCCTATGGACATTCGTAATTTTTAAGGTGTTCGGTTCTACTGAGCTTTTCTCATCAACTAACATGAACCAAAAAACCGCTCTTAACATCAAACGTTCAATAGATATTTGATTGAAGTTGATAATGTGTACCATAGTAGTTCAGATCAGAAACCTTAAGATAACTTACTTATCTTAAAACTTGAAAAATGTACATGTATATTCTATAGTAGGGAACAAATTATCACAAATAATCGAACGACAAGCACTACCATACAAATAACAACAAATTTCCCTATCTAAAGTGTTAATAACTTACTTTGGATGTTAGCAGAGAATATAACCATCGTAGAATATTTGGATGTTCAATAACTCCAGCCATTCCATCAACATAGAGCATAATTTGTCCCAAAGCTTGAAAAAAAGTACATATTGAAAAAATAATGAAAAAATTGTGTAAGCACATTTCACTCTAAAATGTACTTTTCTCGGTTTAAATCGTGAACTGATTTCAACTACACCATCATTGAAAACGTAGAATCACTGAACTACTGTTTCTTTTCATTATGGGACGCCTCAGCGGTAGGCAGTCGACATTCGACCTCGTGGGTGAATTCTTAAGCTCTAAAATCACTGAACTAGTATTCAGTAGTATAAATAAATGTGTAACTCCAAGTAATTCTCAATATTTTGCAATTAGTTCATGATTGAGCCTATGAAACTTCCACAATCTCTACAACTCGTTCTACTTTAAAATATACTTCCATAAATGAAACAATAATACAGTGATACTAATGCAGTAATTACGTGATTATTTGCATGGATAATTTACTATTGGAGAGATTTGTTCACTGATCGAAAACCTAGATGATTGAGCTCTTATTTAGTTTTCAAAAAAAAAAACACTATATAAACAATAATAATAATTCCCGACGAAATTGAGTATCGAAAAAACTTTTCCAAATAAAGCTAATAGTATGAAATGCTAAAACTGTAATTACTTGAAACATTTAATACCACAGAGTTAGTTAAAATGGTGTTTAAATAAAAAAAAACCGATTGAAGGAGAAATATCATGTTGAATCATTTCACAAAATATCTAATATGTAAACTTAATAGTAAAGTTGAAATAATATCGAATAAGTGTGTGATTCTCAGTTGTAAAAACAAATACTATTGTCGTATTGATTAAAGTTCCGCTCAATAATTCTAAATATATTCTTTAAAAAGCAAGCAGAAGAAAAAGTACAGTCAGGTGATTTCTCATTTTTTTTTGAATACATTCCAACTGATTCACCTGTCAGAGGATGAAACAGAAATACCTAATCGAATTCCTTTTCTTTAACACGATCTCAACGTTAATTTGATGCGCTCAAAACATCCTAACTAAAGTATGATTTTACTAATATCTAACTTTTAGTAGTCTACTTCCGCTTACATTGGTGCGAAAAAGGAACAGAGACATCAAACCTTCTAGAGATTATCGAGTCCTTGACAAACAAACGATAGCTGATAGACATTCGGTACCGCACATCTATCACATCAAGTCGGGCTCAGCACTTAAGTGACCTACAATATGACTCCATCTTGTACGAACAATTGAATAAGATATGAAATAAATCTTACTTTCAGTTTCCGTGCTTAGGTGAACCTCGTTTGTGTGACGGAGGTAATGAGAAGCTAAATACGGATTGAGTTGGACGAGTTTATTTCATGCAATCTTTTACGCAAACAGATATGAAGATAAAAAGTGGGAAAACAACGCAAACTGAAAAAAGCGAGTGGGTCAACTTTATGTGATGAGGCCAAACTAAGTATTTACGATCAGACAAAAATAAGATAGACATATGATATGCAAAGTAAGCAATGAACGAGCACATAATTATTAATAACCAAGAATATGAGTGAATAATTGACAAGATCAAAATACGTATGGATAGTGACTCCAGAAAAACGGATTAATTAGCTAATTCAAAGGCTGGAAAAACTATGTGGACTTGAAATTAATATGGAGCCTACAATGTCTAGAAAATTGGATAATTATCACTAGAAGATGAAGAGTAGGTGTGGTTTATTACCATTTTAAAAGTTAGTATGATATTGAGTAAAAATAGAACCATTTCGAGTTTTATTATAAATAAAGTATTCGAATTTCAACAGTAATATACCGTCACTACTTCAGCATTATTAGTATTAAAGAAAAGCCTACGTTTCATTACCTCGTAGAATATAATTTTGAATATTTTGATCTGATCGAGAGCCAACATTCACCAAACAATCTAACCCGGAATGTGTAACGAATTCATGTACAAGATCTTTATCATCCTACAACAACGAAGAATAAAAGATCAGAAGAAAAATGCGAATGATCTACATAGTTTAAAAAGATGAAAATATCGATTGAGTGGGTTATATTAGGTGTTTGAAAAAAACTAGCAGAGGACACTTTAGGCAATAATCTATGATTTCAGAACTGACATATTTAATACATCTTTTTAGGAAGTGACAAGATATCGTAATAGGTCGATGTACTGACTAACACAAGAATGGATTTTAACAGAGAAAAATAGACGATAGATGTACTGATGATTTTTGAAAACTAACTCTTAATTGCACAATACTGAGTTATTGATGAGTTTTGCTATCATGTAGGTGAAACACACACTGTAAGGAAAAATTTGTTTCCTATGGAACAGAACCCTTTTTTCATACATATGTAGTTTTGGGATGTAAATGAACATTCGTTAAATTTAAGTTAAATTTTATTTTAACAATTTTAAGCTTGGAGCAACCTGAATTGTTTATATATATATATATATATATATATATATATATATATATATATATATATATATATATATATATAGAGAGAGAGAGAGAGAGAGAGAGAGAGAGACATTTGCTATTGAAGTAATTGATAGGATAGCTTTGAACTAACTATTCGTGATCAAAATAAATACTTTTTTGAAAAGAAATGTGCGACAAATATGCTTACCTGAAATATTTGTTTTAATGAAAAGAGTGAACGTTTTAACTCTCGACCATTAGCATCTAATAATTTCTCTGATAAGGAAAAGAAGAACATAAAGTATACATTTAAAGGTTATATTTTTCATAAACAGTAAAGCATGATTAAGTGTTCTCTGAAGAATTTTGGCTGAAATTAGTTAACATGAATAGTTTATTTTATCTAGGCAGTGCAGCGTTGGAAAGAGGTGAGAAAAAAATCAGTGGAAGAGTGGTGTTTCGCGGCAGTATTTTGCAGTTTTTCTACAATTACGTAACTCAGTCCCATTTGGTATAGTGGATCGAAGAGACTATCATTGTTATCACGACCAAATTAGAAAGATTCGGTTGGAATGCACAGCTTTCTGTTTGGGAACAAAGTACACACACGTATAAACAAACTTAATAGAAATTATTTCAATACACTGAAGATATGGTTTCCACTTTTAGATTAATCAATAAACAAAATAATTTGGTCCGTTTTTAAAGTAAACTGAACTCTAAGAAAATTCTGCCAGAAGTAACTGCAATCTTGATATAATTACTGAAGAATAATTATCATTTTACTTAATTCAAATAATGATATTGAAACGTGATCATTATGTTGAATTATTTAACCTGAACTAATGTTATCTCAGAGATTCAATACAATGAGAGACACTCAACCTGGATCAATCAATAACAACTAATTTGAATGAGAGTCTGGTTGACTTGGATAAATTTTTTTGATGAAATATTTACTTTCTCATAGCTGCTTGTACGACCTTCAGGAGGTTGCTAACAAGCACAAAACTGAAGTTCAAGGTTTTCAGTCCATTCTCTAAAACTATTTAATTTGGAATAGTTGATTTTCTCTAAATCATATCATCTCGTCAGCTATCATCATGATCAAACTCCATTCACTTTAGAAAATATAATAACAGTTTGGTAAACATAGTAGTGCTAGATAATTTCATTAAACTACATAAAAAGTTGACAACATTTATAGAACACTTAATGTATTCTAGTGTTTAGCTAATTTTCAAGAAACTTCAGTTAATTTGTTATTCAAAACATAAATGTTTCAAGTCAGTTAGTTATAAGAATTTCCTAACATGTAAGGAAATGTTAACATCAAGTAAAGTCAATTAATTTCATGTTTTAATTTAGTATTTCTTCTCAATAAGACCACTTTTATTCATTCAATCAATATAAGAGATGAATGCAACTTAATTTATACATTGCAACATATTGGATATGTATTTCAGTTAAATTTTCAGCTAGTTTTTACTGATTACTAATGTTGAATAAAAAAAATATTTTATGACATGTTCTGTGTTTGAAATGAAAACGTTGTCATGTTTACCTTGATTCAATTGATTACAATTATATCAAAGTACGTATTCGCATACCGCGCATGAAAATCGAAATCTCATTTTAAATGAAGTGAATTGTGATATTTTTGAACACTGATTTGATGTTTGAAATGTTTAGAGTACAGTAGCACTAACTTAAATGTTTTTAGCATTTCAGTTTAAGATAGATAAGATCAATTTTCTGTGCTCTCAATATCACCATTATGGTAGAAAAAAGCAAATGTTTTAGTCAGACGGTTTTGCGATGAAGTTGTCGATGCTTTAGTGGTAATCTAGTAGTGATCTGTGAAGTCAACCAAGCCATGCCTGTAACAATTACATATCAATGATTTTTGGATAAAATTCACATCATATCGCGAACTAACTGGACGTAACAAAATGGAGGTTACTGAATTCGACTGCCTGACTGGGAAGCCGCGTTACCTAGGTTTACAGTGAGATATCATTAACTGAACTCTTATTCGACTGAGATATTTACAACTGAATGATCATATTTTTCTAGTCCTATAGTATTAGTCAAACTGTATGCAACAAGTTACGATGTTACTAATTATCAAACATGTTACTATAGTGCACATTATGTCAAGTCACAGACCAGTGCCCACACTGCAACTTGGTCGATAGAAATCAGTCAACAAAAAAGGATCATACTAACATGAAAATGGTAATTATTTAGTGATCACTCAATCGTAAACATCCATATAATTTTAGAAATACCCGAAAATTATTCGACTAAATCATGTTATTTTGATTGGATTATCTTTATAACTGTTAATAAGATGAAGTACCACCAACTACATAATGATTCCTGGGTTAAAGATGAGTTGATTCAAAGTTTTGAATTGTAATTCAATTCCATAAACGTTTATTTTGACTAGTCCAATAATCTGATATCAACAATAAGATACACATCAAACTTCATACAACCACATTGTTGTAGTGAATATGTATACTCTAGTTTGTAATTTGAAATGAATCATGTTAATATACGTGTAGTTATGCTTCTTCCATTTAATTGTAAGCTTAAGTTACAAATAGTTTGATTCAAATTGTTCATAATTCACAACCGAGTAACTGATAATATTAATTGTTTAAAAAACTACAATCTTTAAATCACAGAAATCAAGTTAATGTACCAAACTGTAGTTTGTAAACCAGATTGTTATTAGTCAGTTTGTTTTTATAATAAGAAGTTAGTTGTTGAACGTTCAGTGGTTTATTTTCATAATGGATAACTTTAATTTGACAAGTTTATGAAAATCATTTTTTAAATAGTAATGAGAAAGAAATCTGCCCGTTGATTCTCTACTGTATTTCTAAATACATTTTAAAATAAACACGCCCTAATGAATGATGATTATGTGTCTTCTACTTTTGCGTTAGTAAAACTTAGACACTGATAACTTTCACACTAGAAGCGAACATGTATGATTTGCTTTTTTGGGGAAAAGATTTTTATATGGTTATTCGCTACTTTAATCTATCTTCAAATTGCGACTGCTACTCTAGTACTGAAAATGTTTGTTTTATGTAATCGCAGCCGAAAGGTTATGAAGTTTTTTTTACAAAGTTTATTGATGCAACGCATCAAAGTTTTAATTTCTTAATTTAACAAGTGAAGGGTTAATCAATGTCACCAAAAGTAGAATATAAGTGCCTATTGGACTGAAAAAGCTTGATTCATTGATTTGATAGATGCCCATGAAATAGACCTAACCCTAGACTGAAATTTGGATCCAAGGTCAAGCAAATTTGAATATGAATTAAGCAATAATTGTTCATATTTATATCATCTTGTTTAATCATATCAGTTTGCTTTCTTCCCTCTATTGTCTAGAAATTGTGTCATCAGTGTGCATACACTAACTCAGGCCTCCAGAAGATGGCTTAATTATTAGAACCACTAGGTTGTCATTCATTAGCACTAATCCAACTTCAATCAATTTGTGCAACACTCCTCTAAGGACATCATTGACAACCGTTTCACTCCAGACAAACGTGAACCCAGACGGTCACTAGTGAGGAGTCCCATACTAGTGCGAAACAACTACCTATTGCTCCCTGATTCTCAATAGTGAGCAAAACGGCATCGATTCCTAACCAATACTACCTACAAATTAGTTTTCTTAACATTTTACTATACAATCAAACGAATTGAAAGTTATATCTAACTGAGTAAAATGTAAGTGTTAAAATTGGGAACAGTAAGTTTAAGAAAAAAAATCCTAAAAAACAAAATATTTCCTTGGAGGAACAAAATTAAAAAATATAGCTATGTAAAAGCTCGAAGTATCCACAAAACAACAGATAGTTTTCCTTCAATTTGAACATACACGAGAGAAAACTATTTATGTGTCTAACAGATTTTTTTTGTAATAATGGAAACGGGAGCATAATTGTCAAATGAAATTCATCATGCTTAAAATTCTTATCAAGAACATGGCTGTATTCACGTTTTGAATCCTAAATAGATGGTCACTCTTGTAGAATTTGGTCACAAAGAAATATAAAATGGAAACTGTAAAAATGTAGTAGGATTGCAAATACAAGTGAGGTAGGCCCAATTACAGTCATCTGTGACTGATCAACGAACGCAGACAGACAATTACGTGTATTTTGTCATATAGTGTTCTTTATTATCTCAATTGGTTTAACGTATAAAATAGGTCATCTTGGAAGGGTATCTATTATCAGTGTCTGGCAATCATTTTTGTAAAAAATGTCTACAAACGGTATCCTCTTCGCATAGAGTTAAATTAAAGCAATAACTAGAAAAGTATTTTACCATGAAATCCAAGGATTAGAACTTACCAATAATTGCCCTAACACGGACAACGAGCTTTGTTCGAAGGACAACACTGTTCTCCCTGCAGATAAAAAAAGATTAATATGGTATCTGTTAAGCGTATTCACACTAATTGTTTGATGTAAATCTTTAACAAGCGTGAATTGGTTGTGAATAGTGTCAACCCTAGCACAGGCATGTGTCAACACAAGTTGCTATACTATGTCATGATTAGATGAAATTAACAGGATGAGTAATAAAATAGTTCAACTGGTTATCTTGGGAACGATAGTGACAAAGAATAAACATCGAAAATATGATTCGACGAGAGGGCCTAAAAAAGTTTATATGAAAGGAAAACTGGAACTCATATTCGATAGCAATATAAAAAATGAATATGAGCCACTATGACCGATTGACCCATGTCATCTAATTTCTGTAACTACGAACATCAGACAGGTATTTTGAGTCCGTCACGGTAGGTCAGACCGACAGTCCATAAAATCATGGACTGCTTCGCGTATTGGTCCTGGAGCCTTTCAAGGAGTATTGTAATGATTAATTTCATTGTGAAATGCTTTGGGCTGTCTTTGATACCTGTGTAACATTTTAAAACTGAATGATTAGATGAAGAACTGTATTTAATAGACTATCAGATTTTCAGAGATTAGATGACTGTCAGAATGCATTCTCGTGGGCGTCTTATAACGCTAAGATTAGTAATTTAAGATATAGTCATTCAAACGCCATCCAGTAAAGTTCTAAGACCTAAGGAATCTCATCTAATCGTCTTCAAAGACAGACGAGATACCAAGTATTGGTTAACTTGATACCGGTTGCGGACACAAGTTAGTATTACAGATAGTCGGGAGATGCAGAGTAGAATTTGTAGAAAAACGAGCAAAAAACAATGTGCAGTTTATTATTATTTAGAATATTTTGAGTAACTAACAGGATAATTTTGAGTGTTATTCATGATTCTTCTAGAAACCAGTAAAAAATACCTAAAGTTTGATGCAACGTGTGATTCTAAATTATTGAATACAGCTTTCTAACAACAGAACTGTATTTGCTATTCGCTCTATAATGTGTTTAAACTCTCAGAAACATATGGCATTGTTTTTAAATTAGAAAGTAGAGCAACTGAAATCTTTATTACATTGTATTGCTGATGATCTTCATCAAGGTCACAAAATTTATCATTGTACAGTAACAAAATGTCAGATTCGTTCGTTTGATATCAAATTAATATTGAAATGTTAGCAGCAGAATGGATATCCTAACCTATTGAAAATGCTCTATTCCAGTGTTGCCAATATTTGGAGACTCCCAGAAAGTCTAGTTTGATTAATTTTATCTTTATAAGTCATGAAAAGATCTATTAACATTGCAGTTGCTCTAAGAGTTGTGAATAATAGAAGGAATTTGCCTGCCAGTTTACTGTTTACCATTCATCCCTAAGTATAAAAACGTCATCAACAACTGTTCAATTAAAAACCGCTTTATTACAGTATATCAGTGAACAGTGCATATAATACTCGTGCATCATTTTGTCCCTTTCCACCGAATTTCAGGTTGCTGGGATACGTAAGTTTACTTTGTCACCATATCAACTGGTTTAACTTGTATCTGAATCGCATTGAACGTATCTTTTACTGATGTAAGTCATGAAACATTTCTTGGTTTGTCAAGTTAACTGATTATTTTCCATAACCAGTCTTTATAAATAGATACTTCAAATGCCAGAAACTACTTTTGATGACGAGAATAGTTTTTGATGGAACAGACATTTCTGATAATTTTTGGAAGGCAGCTTTTGAAAGCCTAGCAAGTCATTTACTTGATTAGAAGAAATAAGGTTGTCAGCTTGTTGGATGGACACAGTAAGTAACGTTTCTCAAAAGTTTTGACTGAAACCGTTTTCATAAGGCTAGATTTCAGAAGACTTTGATGTAACTGCAATAATTTCTGTTAATTGATGAAATCAGACATCCAGGAAGCTAGAGCTGTTATGTATTTGGAAGAGAAAAACAGAAACTTTGCAAGCATGAGAAATATACCTGAAAACGCGGTGGCATTCAGTCTGAATACCAAGCGTATGAAATCGTTACCGTAAGAGTCTTGCTTTACATCAAATCTATTGTAAATAAATTTAAAGTTAAAAACCCCTAGCCTATTGAAGATATGCCATTGATTTTGTTACTAAAATATTTAGTGAATCGGATTTTACTTGAAAAACTTCTGCATATATATAGAAAGGTTAGCATTAATTTGAAAGTGAAAAGTTCGTGACAGTCACAATTATTTCATTTAATATGCAAGACACATAATTCACGAGATTTACAGTCTTTAGATATATTTTGAGTGGAATACTTAAACACAAAAACAAAATTTAACAAGGAATCCTAAAGATGGAAAAAAGACCACGCATATCAATGTCATTTAAATCTTTATCAACAGAAACGAAAGTAAATCTGTAATTATTGGTTTTCATTTACGCAATTTATACTGAAGAAAGCACGATTCTGTCACATGTTTTCAGGATCAAAAACAAAACAAAAGGTAGGGGAATAGGCAAAACCGTATCCAGTTACCTATGTGGTTCTAAGTAAGTGGATCCATAAAATGATAAAATGAAACATCGTCAAAGTGAAAGTATTGTTGTGGAGAACGTTTTTTCATGATAGTTTATTTTGTAGATGAGATACTTAAAAATCTGCTATAAAAGTTCGTTAACTAATCTATCAGTAACAACATCAGTTCACGTTTCCACACCACATTAACACAGAGGTAGAATCGTCAATTCAAATCCCATAGTGGTAGATATTGTAGCAGTACTAGCGGCAATCGAAAAGATAAGTGATCGAAGCTATGGTTCAAGAAGTATATACCAGTGAAATACATTTAAGAAGAGAAAAGCGGTCATGAAGAATTAGATGAGAATTGGAGAAAAGACAAAAAGCGGATGCATCTGCGCCATCGTAAACAATTTTGAGACGTCATTTGAAGTCTCTAACCACCAGCTACTATTGTCATTGGAACCCCAACTAGATAGTTTACATCTATTAACATGGTTCAGTACAATTGTTAATGGCTTCATGGATTCGCGTCATGTTTTGTTTTGGCCACCTTTAGTTTTTTTCCAGTTGATTCCTAAATCAGATATCGCTCGTCGAGTAAATTGGTGGTTAGGGATACGTAATACATGTTTCAACCACCTCAGATGATGAAAATTTACTTCTCCATCAATTGATGTGTGATCTTTACCCCATTTCTAACACTAGCATTGCTTACTCGGTAGTCTCAGAATACACGAGCAATACATCGAAGGCAGTTATGATCGAATACAGGTAACTTATGAATATCCTCTATCCTTAGCAGTCATGTTTTACACTCGTTAAATAATGAAAGCAGCCATGAGGGTGGCAAGAATAGTGGGACATTTAAGGTCAGCGAATTTACTTGAATGGAACCATCAAGTATATGAAGAGCAAAAATGCACAAACTGCACCTTAATAAAACTAATATTGTTCAGCAAATGGTTATAGGAAAAATAGGAGTTACATGACATAAACACAACACTGATGAAACGCAACGGCTCACAACCTTTGATTCAAAAATCAGTGCAGCTCCCAAACTTAAAAAACTAACTAATTATAGACACTTCCATAATACAGTCCGACTCGCTAGTCAAAATGTGGATAAAGAATAGGTTTCATATGTTTTCTCTGCGCCATTTCTCATACAAATATTACATTATTATTGAGAGTTGGATCATATACGTTTATTTCAAATAAAACGATGTTGTGTATGTATATCTAACTTCACGTAAGAACGATAAAACTAACCATTATTCACCTAGCCATAACGTTGCCTTCGCATCTTTGAAGCACTAGGTTTCGGTCTAAAACCCTAGATATTTGTAGGACAAATTATACCGAAACTTTCTTACAATAATTTAACGAATTTTCAGAATCGCAGCACGATAATATATTAAATTTCGCATAACAACAGAGATTATTGACTATAAAGGGAAGAAGATCACTAAAATCCACAAAAGAACTGATATTGATGGATTGACACAAGTAAATTCGAAAAAATGACTTACTGGTCAGCAGATATTTCCAAATCTTCCCATTGCTCCTGTAATGTAGAGTCAAGATCAAGATATGATCCGAATTCAGATTGAGCCTGACCAAATTTGTACAACTGGAGCGTACTATCTTCGAGCTAAAACAAAGAATATTTCGGTTTGGAATTAAATTACGCGATGTGGGGGGTGTAGAATTTTGTGGATTGCAGGGAGCTGACTGCTTAGAGGAAGCTCCATCAAAATTGTAAATGATATTGGCCTCATTGGCTCCAAGAGCGACAGGGAATTACACGAAAAAGGGTCTCTGTCATCCAAATAGTAGACCTGACACGTGAAAGTCGCCATGCTCGGATTACTTTCTATCCCCTTGAAATCGTGCCTAAATGCTCTGCGTCTAGATACATCGCGCAAATAGCACAGTTAAACAATCATTGGGGTCAAAATTCTTTTGACACTTTTATGCAAATTTTGAACATGCTTTACAATTTTAACCTATATTTCTGCCTTTTATAGAGATAACTTTGGTGATACTGTGTTTTGAGTGATTCTCCTCTTCATTGCTCCAGATATTCACGTGTTTCGTCACGCATGTGGTTTTGATATCCCACGAAATACGTTTTGTAAATTCCTGTTTGAAATGCTGTATCAGTTTTAATCCTCGAAGTCTGTTAACCGTACTCAATTAGATTTCATAATCTCAAAAGTATATCAATGTGATTGCTCGATAGATATGAATTGTTGACTAACTGGAGTGATCATGAATAAACGTTGAGAGTTTCACCGACTCTCCTAGAATGAATGAAATAGTGTTATTGGTCTCAAGAATGATCATTAATCTATTGAAGTAGCTATATTCGTCCATCTTTTGATTTATAAGTCAGACAGTTGTTAAATAGTTATAACAAAATGCAGAACGACATTACTGTAGTTCCTGTTAGTGTCCATAAAATATAAAGACTTAGAATTAAAATCAACTGCGTAAATTACATACGGATTATCACAAGAAGAATTGTAAAAATCAGGGTTCAGGAAGGAAATCCTACTTATTTATGTTGTTGAGAAATATCTTATTATCAAGATAATTTATCTCGAGATTGCAAACTTTCCCCTGATTTTCGGACTCAGGTTTTAGCTGAAGTAACTACCATCAGATTGTAAGTGATAATAGGCAGTTACTCTATAGATATATTCATTATAATGAATGACTTAGCTAGTTATTTTTTAAACACTAGAAATCAGAATCTTCTCCTTGGCCATCGTTTGGTTCTTCTCTGCTTTTAGGCTCCCTGTGCTAGTGAAACATGTCGCCGTTATACGGTTTACCATGAATCGCATTGATCTATAGGCTAATTTGAGACTAGTATTCATGTCAACAGTGTACGAAAAATACTTCAGTCATCTGAGCAAAGCCAAAATATAGAGCTCTAAGGACATCTTTAACCAAATTTATCACTACGGATTGCATCTTAATGGCCACCTTTGTGACCAAAATGTTGTAACTTAAGTGAACTGCTACTGATCCGTGTGCACCAGTCACTGATAATTAGGAGAGGTAGTGAACATAAAATGAAAAAGGCACTGAAAGCAATATTGTGCTTGTCACAGGAAATTTTTGGGGAAATGTACGGAATGAAATGCCACGATACTCTTTGATGTCCTGGCATCAGAGATTAATTTCATGGAAAACAGAGGGACTTTTAGAAACACCAGTGAAACAAATACTTCGTTATTTCAGCCATGAGTACTATCTTGTCTAGTTGCGTCGGGGCGATATGGGCGATATGCCATTCACAATAGAATTAACAACCTGTACAGCCACATTTAATGTTGTCACATCCGACATGGATCAATGAAACAAAATAGGACAACATAACCAAACGGTATCGGTTGCTTTCGAACAACTACTCACGACAGAAGAAACTGTATATCAGTCACACTAATCGAACTAGTCGTAATAAGAGAAATCTTCTACTACTGGTAGACCTAACTTTGTTTCTGCAGAAAGCCAGTTAAGATGATAACAAGAGTGATCAAAAGTATATGTATTTAGCTTGAAGCGAAGGCCAAAAATGCAGTTAAAATTGACTTTCTTCTGACATCTTTAACGACCAACCGACAGTGCAAGTTATCGCTTACTTATTTGCGCCTGATACCCCCAATGGAGCATAGGCCGCCAACCAGTTTTCTCCAACCAACTCTGTCCTGGGCTTCCTTCTCCAGTTCTGTCCAATGTTTGTTCATTCCTCTCATATCTTTCTCTATTTCTCGGCGTAATGTGTTCTTTGGCCTTCCTCTTTTCCTTGCACCTTGAAGGTTCCATGTGAGGGCTTGTCTCGTGACGCAGTTCGGTGCTTTTCACAGTGTGTGTCCTATCCACTTCCACCGCTTCTTCCTGATTTCCTCCTCCACTGGAATCTGGCTTGTTCTCTTCCACAGTGCGTTGTTGCTGATGGTGTCTATCCAACGCATCCAAAGTATTTCGCGTAGACAACTGTTAATAAACACTTGTATCTTCTGGATGATGGCTTTGGTAGTTCTCCAAGTTTCCACTCCATACAGTAGAACTGTCTTGACATTTGTATTGAAAATCCTGATTTTGGTTTTGGTTGAAAGTTGTTTGGAGTTCCAGATATTTTTCAACTGTAGAAATGCAGCCCTCGCTTTGCCAATCCGCGCCCTCACATCTGCATCGGATCCACCTTTCTTGTCGATGATGCTGCCAAGATGTGTAAAGGTGTTTACGTCCTCCAAGGCACCTCAATCAATAGTGATTTGGTTGGTGCATGTTGACTTGCATCGAAGAATTTCGCTTTTCCTTTATGTATGTTGAGACCTACTGCTGCAGAGTCTGCTGCTACACTGATCGTCTTCTCTTGCATTTGTTGTTGCGTGTGCGATAGAAGAGCCGGGTCATCTGCGAAGTGCAGATTTCCAGCTGCATCCTTGTTTTCCGTTGGATACCGAGTTTCCCTCCAGCGCAAGTTCTAACGCCACTCAAATATAACGAGGAATAAGATGTTAAGATTCAGTAACCACTCCAAGCAGCTACACTGTCTGAAACCGAGATAGCAGATTGAAAGCTGTTGTGCTGGTTTTGCTGCAACACATGCACAACGAGTATTCAGTCGTGATAATTCACCGTTCTTATACAGATAAAAAAGGGTAAATTTCTCTTAACAATAATCATGGGAGGAATTGGTCACGAATTTAATGCTACCACTAGATACTACCAGCCGCAGAATCCTGTCCCTAAATTTCAGTGAGCAGGAAATGATGCCTAGAGAATCGTTCAAAAGTCAACTCATCTTAACGATAAAAAATCCAGCTCTGATTGAATCTGTAGGGGATGACACAAAATGAGGAATAACAGGTCAGACACGAACAAGAAGTTATGACCACGACGCAGTCAGTCAAATACTAGATACATTAGACGAACGAAGATTCTGGTTATCTAAGCTACAGCTACACCAGTAGCACAATCATTTGATCCAGAAATGGTTAAGCCTTCCAGTCGACGCGCACTGGATTCTTATTAAAACCACTGTTCATGAGGTTTTCGATGCACCATGCTAAGAAAAGAATATCTCAGACTGGACTTGACCCTGAGTGTTTACGTAAGGTAGAGAGTAATGCCTGTATTAGGTGACAGAATCTGGTGTGACAGGAAGTTAAAGAAGGATTGCAGATTTCGAAAAACAAACCTTATGATGAAACTAATACCTGTCTTTGCCCTGAAAAAAAGCCTAAATAATTGGGTGTTTGAGAAAACCATTGACCACTAATATGGAGGTGCATCAAATACACAGAGTAATCCCTACTTTATTTAAGACAAGTACACATGTTGACTTGTGAGTTCTCGAAAATATTCAAAACTTGCTTTTACCAACGTCAGTAGACCCACAAAATCGCTGCACTCCATTTTCGCATAAGGCATTTGAATCACTTGAAACATTAGCAGAATTTTACCGCTAAGTGCGATAGAGTGTTGATTTATGAACCCTTTGAAAACTGGATTGATGACTTTAGTCTATTGTCTTCAAGCTTTAGGATAGTACAAGACCTTATAATTGTGAACGAAATACTCAGTACTATTGGTCAGGTAGGATTTAATTAAACACATTTAAATATCTTGGCAGCATCATCGACAAGAAAGGTGGATCCGATGCAGATGTGAGGGCGCGGATTGGCAAAGCGAGGGCTGCATTTCTACAGTTGAAAAATATCTGGAACTCCAAACAACTTTCAACCAAAACCAAAATCAGGATTTTCAATACAAATGTCAAGACAGTTCTACTGTATGGAGTGGAAACTTGGAGAACTACCAAAGCCATCATCCAGAAGATACAAGTGTTTATTAACAGTTGTCTACGCGAAATACTTTGGATGCGTTGGACAGACACCATCAGCAACAACGCACTGTGGAAGAGAACAAGCCAGATTCCAGTGGAGGAGGAAATCAGGAAGAAGCGGTGGAAGTGGATAGGACACACACTGTGAAAAGCACCGAACTGCGTCACGAGACAAGCCCTCACATGGAACCTTCAAGGTGCAAGGAAAAGAGGAAGGCCAAAGAACACATTACGCCGAGAAATAGAGAAAGATATGAGAGGAATGAACAAACATTGGACAGAACTGGAGAAGGAAGCCCAGGACAGAGTTGGTTGGAGAAAACTGGTTGGCGGCCTATGCTCCATTGGGGGTATCAGGCGTAAGTAAGTAAGTCAGGAGTTAATTAGTATAGATTAGTTTACTGTGTGTTTATATCTGTAAAATTATTGCATCGGTATTTTTATTGAATGCTTGAATGTATAATTATTTTATTCAACCCTTTTTTTCGTTAGGACTGAATATGTTTAAAAGGTCGTTGAAAATCTGTATACAACTTTTGATTCATAATGCATGCACCAATTCGCTTTGACTTTTGGCTAATTGTTAGCTTCAAGTCCTTGCTCCATTGTTTTAGTTGTCAACCTAAATGGTGATCGTTCCATTGAAATATCTTATTTCTGTGTTATTACTCACTGCCATAGAACTGGAAGTAAGTTGAAGAATCACTGAGTTTTTTAAAATTCAGTAGTAAATTTGTTTGCTAAAGGGAGTCGGATTAGTTGGCGACTTTCTGTTTTTCTATGAGCAAAATGTGAAGAGACAGAATATAGTTTATATGTGTTTCTTACTGAATGTTAATCACTGATTATACATATGTTGAGGCACTTAACAAATAATTTTCCACGCGCATTGAAGTTAAAGTTTTTTGTCCGACATATAAGACGAACTAGAAATATTTAGAGCTTATCATACAGTTATTGTAAATTTAATACCGAAACTAATCTAATAAACTTGAATGTTTATAATATCTATCTGTTTACCCCGTAGACAAACTAGTTTCTTTTTCCGGAGTCATACAATTTGCCACAAGTAAAATTAGTGTTTGTTGCTTATCGGAAAATCAATTAGAACCGATAAATAGTAAACTTCAAGGTAAACATTTTGTGTCACTCTGTGCGGACTGTGTTTATTCACAACAAATTCATTGAATCTGGTGAGGAAAATTATACATTTTTGGTTAACATTTATGTTTCTTGTTTTTTTTTAATCAAGAATTAATATTCTCGTTATTAATTAACTTTTTTGTGCGAAGTGTCATCTGGATGAATCACTGTCGGTGTCACTTTGAAAAAGTTATATCAGGCGACCTTAATGCAAGTTGTAAAATGTAGTTAGTTAATAAGAAGTACTTTAAATGATGTAGTCTTTCCTTCCTACTTTATAGTTGTTTTGATATTTTCATTTTGTGTATTCCTTTTACTAGAAAATAAACTTATCCATTTAATTATTTACTTTAAACAACCTATATATATGTTACATTTTAGAAAAATAACTTATATAAACAAAGATAATTTTTGAAGTGTTGCTTCATCTACGTGACTTGGATTGAATGACATTACTACTGAGAAAGCAATGATTTGTTTAGCCGAAGCGAGGTTTAATGTTTGGTAATATTATCGGACTATATTATTAAGTACCAGAAATCGAAGGATCATAACAAAATAAACTTTAATTACACAACAATAACACGCTGACTTCAATCTTATCGACAGGTAATATTGTTTGGGAATCTTACATGAAGTCTTAACAGCTTTGTCTTTCAATCTTTATTTCAAATACATAAATCTTTTATGAAAAAGCACTTAAAAATCTAATACGCATAATCTGGTTTAACCAAAGTTTAAATCTACATTCACCTGGAAATAGTCTATTCTTTCACAATGATCTATCATATAATTATTATCAATAAAGTACACCAAAGGAGATTTGTTTTAACGCACTCATTAAACTTATTGGGCAGAAATAATTACTATTGCTGTAATTAGCACAATTTATAGATTTTTTTAAGGTTACAGCACATGTGTATGTTAGCAAAAATTTGTGAATCAAAAAACACCTAATTAGAGAGTTTAAAAATCCCTAATAAGTTAGCATCGAATAAAAGTGATTGGAAAGAAAAGTTTCAAAAACATGGATGTCGAATAGAATTTATATTCAGTTTAATGCAAATTTGTGCACAATATGTTGAAACATAATATCAACTGTGCAAATAAACTTATTTTAACATTTTATCCAAGTGTATAATGCATAAAACGTATTAAAATATATATCTAGTCGGTCAGTTGCAACGTAGAACTTCGTATGTTTGTACATAAGTTCATGTTGCCATACCACATTAGCACAGAGACGCAAATGTCAAATCAAATCCCACAGTGATAAAGATAGTAGAGGTATTAATGGTAATGAAGAAGACTAGGGTTTAAAGATATTATTCAAGAAGTATAATTCAGTGAGATTGGGTTAGAAAGTCAAAAGTAGAGGTGTTGACGAATCCAGAAGATTAGGATTTTGGAGAACACAAAGAGTGGATGCACCTGCGCCATTGCAAACGATTTTGAGGCATGTCGTTCAAGGTCTCTAACCATTAGTGACTTTCGTCTTGTGGACCCCAACCAGGTAGTCTACATCTACCAACATGACTCAGTCCACTTGTCAGTGACTTCATGAATTTCTGCCATGTTTTGTTCTGGCCGCTCCTAGCTTCTTCCAACCTACTCCTACACCACCAAACATAGCTTGTCGAGGCAGTCGGTGGTTAGGCATTCGTAACACATGTCCCAACCACCTCAACTGATGAAGTTTCACCACTTCATCTATTGATCTGCCATCCTTACCTAGTACTCGTTTCTTAACGACAGCATTGCTTACTTGGTTGTCCCATGATACACGAGTAATGCTTCGGATACACCTATGACCAAAGACTAGCAACCTACGAACATATTCTACTCTTAACGGCCATGTCTAGCATCCATATAGGAGAACAGAGCGAACTGCTGCACAGTATACTCGACCTTTGGTTAGCGAACGGATATCTCGCCTACGCCATAAACGGCGTAAATTGGCAAAAGCAAATCGAGCTTTTTGTATTCGTGCCGAGATTTCATCAGTCACCAGGCTATCAGCACTGATGAGACTCCCCAGATAAGTGAAGTGATCAACACGTTCGACTACTTCACTCCTTATCCCTAGTTCAGGTGCCGATGCAACCCAGTCTTGAAGCAACATTTTGCATTTCGAGGGTGAGAACCGCATTCCGATCATGCTTGCATTGTTGCTTAAGGTAGTCAGAAGTCTCTAAATATATACTGAATTGAAATATGCACGCATTTCTAATTAATTTATTATCAGAATTACAAATGATGTTTAAGCAAAGTTGATGAATTGATTAAAGTTTATAAATTTGTTTTTAATATAAGGAAAATTCAAATGTATGAACAAATATTTTTCAATATTAAGAAAATTTTGATAATGTACTGTATAACTCTATTGTTAGGGACGTTCGCTTTTATTAGTTGATACTCGATTATTACAATTACTCGATTATTAAAAGTGGTCAGTTAACTGAAATAATTAAGGCATAATTCAAACATAAACTACATGATTATTTCGTTTTTGAAATGAGCAAGTGGTATCGAGTGCTAACTAGTCAATAGTTAATTTCATTATACTGAGTATCGACAGAATGATTTCATAGTTATGAGAGCAATTTTTCTAATACACTTTAAAAAACAATTAATCAGAAGTTAAAAAAAAATGAATATAATAATTATGATATTCAATAAAAGTATAATCCAGAACTTACTTTTTTAACATCAATTCCAGATTCAATTAGTAGTTCATCCACAGTACGATAACCACGAAAATTTTTCTCTTCTAAATCTGTGAATTTTCTGTCATGATTTTTATTACGACAAACATTTAATAACATTGGTATAGTAATTTGTCGTTTGTGACTTTTCATTAATAGATTTTGTATTTCTGTAGGCATTTTTTGAAAAGCCTCTTTAGCTTTCCATGATTTATACACAATTTTACATTGGTCATCGTCAGAGTCACCACTTCCATCCGCATAGTAATCTCTGCGTTTACCAATATCATTCATCATTTCTTTAGATGTTTTCCTGTCTTGCTTCGATGAAACGCTGTCTTTCAATATATCATCAATGTCTGTATGTTTTGAAAAGTAAGAAGCTGACATTGCAGAACTTCGACGTCGATCAGAAATCCCGTTTTCATAGACTGGAGCACTATTAGCTGAAGATGTGAGAGTATCTTGACGTAAAGTAGCCTCTGAATCTCGAGAATATCGTACCGCATCTGATTTCCCACTCGGCTGCCTATTTTGTGATCTCAGTTTCACAATATCGGAATTATTGGTTTTTGGCGGCATATCCCATAGCTGTGAATTACCCATTTCATCAGCATTTGGAGGGTCAGCCTCTTGTAGAGAATTCTGCTGACGCCAATTATTGACCTTTTGTATGGGATCCTGAGAAATAATTGTCTCAAACTTCTTCGCTAATGGCAATTTCTGTGATGATAGACAATCTTTATTTTGCTGTGCATGATAATCTGACTGGTAATTAGCTTCCTTTTCGGCCAAGTTCGCAGCGATTTGTTTTCTACGCTTAATTTCTTCTTCTAATTCACGATTTTTGATTTCATCTTTTTCCCATTTTGCTTTACGTTCTAACTGACGTAGACGACGATTTTCACGTTCAATCTCTAGTTGAATTTGTTTCTTCCAATCTTCCTCAAGCATTTTTTCACGTTCTAAACGTTTTTGTTCATTAGGTGTAATGTTATTAGTAGCTGCGTTTGGTGAACATGGTGGTTGAGTTTGAGCACGTGATCTGTTTAGATAATCAACACCGTAAACAGATTCTCTCCATCCACCACGACCAGGTTTAGGACTTTGTGTTTCTTCATCATTACCTGACAACTGTCTTAAATATCGTCCGCCAATGTTTATACGCCGAGGACCATTAACTTTCTCTCCATTAGGCAAGGGAGATGAAACTTTAGTTGGGGGTAGGATTATATCATCACCAGTTTGTGTATAATTGTGTATATTAACTGGACGGGGCATTTTAACTTCAGCTTTTTCTGTTTTTGTTGTAGATATACTAGAAAGTTTATTTCTGTATTGGGAACCTTCTTCAGTGGAAGTTGCTCTACTTGTAACAACAATATATTTTGTGATATTGTTATTATTTAATTCATCTATTTCATCTTCTTCTTTAACAATTGAAGAAGATAAACTACTAACTGATGGTCGATGATAATTACCAGTGGATTTGGAAAAATTATTATAATCCTTTACAGATCCAGAATCTCGTGATGATGATATTGATCCACTGGGATAGCGACCACTTGAGAAACTAGAAAAATTTGATGAATAATCTGTTCCACTATTTGAAAGACGCCCGGAACCATAAGTATAATCATTAATGTCATTTTTACCAGTTACAGAATTAGCACGACTTTTTCTGGGGTTATAAATATCTGATGCATAACTTGTGCCAAAATTTGGATAAGATGTTGTTCCCAATGGTCTTGTTGAATTATACTGTGCTGCTGGACTTGATGCACTACTCCCATAGTTCTTATTTGATAGATATCCATTCGAATAATTGGAAGTTAGCTAAAATTCAATAAAAAGAATTTGCAATGAAAACTTCGTATGTTATCAATAGAACAAATGGTAAACATTCATATATTGCTGAACATTCAACAGTAAAATGTGATGGAGAGTGAATTTCAAACCTGACCTGAAAAGTTATAAAAGAGCAGTTCAACGCTCATTTGATTATTTACCATAGCACTTTACACATATGATCAAGAACATTCATTGAAATAGGCCACAAAGCAGACAAGTCATCAAAAATTTAAAACAAATTAACGGAGAGAAAATATTTACTGTTGACAGACAGATAAAAGTGGTGATGAATAAATTGTTAACTTTATGAATCACCTTATTGCTAACACAATCATTTGTTTGATGTTAACTTCAGTGTTAAACAATGGATCTGACTAGCTAGGATGCAGCCGGACGATCTAGACTTTGCAAACAATCTAGTTCTTCTATGGCACACACAATAACAAACGCAAGAAAAGTCAGCCAGTGTAGCAGTAGCCTCCACAACAGTAGGTCTCAACAAACGCAAAAGGGAAAGCAAGATTCTCCGATACAATACAACATACACAAACCAAATCACACTTTACGAGGAAGCTTTAGCTAGTGTGGGAGATATTTACAAATCTGCGTTGCGCTATTGATAAGCACGGTGGATCCGATGTAGATGTAAATGCGTAAGTAAGTAAGCAAGAACAGTTGACATAAGAGAACAAGTCATTTCATGCTTAAAAATCGAAAAGTTTCAAATGTCAATAATTTAGTTTCAAAGTACTCAACATTTTATTCATATCTTAAAATGCCAGTACGATCGGATCAATAGATCGATAAAGTCATTTTACCCGAATTCTCATACGATTAAAAAATTTAGGTTAAGAAATGTTTGGATTGTTTTATAAAAAATACGATACCTTCATGGAATAGAAATTATAATTCTGAAGATATGGTCGAAATAACTTATCCACTTATCACTTTCAAACTAGTGTCATCAACAACATTTCTCCTATCTCATTAGTCGACTGAAAAAAAATTGGGTGGTCTCATGTTCATTGTTCTAGCGGTTTAGTGGTGAATCTTGCGCTATCTTTTCTCGACAACATAATCAGTAGGTACTTACAAATCGGTAGATATTTTGAAATAAGCCTAGTCAATCAGCCATTAGGAAAAATGAAAAGCAATGTCAAGGTTAGACTTCAGGCCATTGGAGGAAACAATTAAAACCGATTTGCAATAATGCAAACACATTTATGCAGATAACTAGTCAAAATCAATGTCAACGGAACAGTTTGTTAGTCATATTATATACTCGACTCGATTTGACATTATACATCTGATAATATTGTCTAGAAAAATTACGAAAGCTTCACAACTTAACCAATCAGCCCATAGAACACAACAACCCTAATTTCTTCATCCTGATCTATAAATATCCCCCAGCTTTTTAAATAAACTTTTAAATGAATTAGATTACTTTGAATGTGGATTGGGTTTTTCAGTATATTAACGAGTTTCAATCATGAAAGAAATAATAAACGGTTCTTTTCTGTTTTAATTGTACTAGACAGTTGAGTATCCACAATAAACTATGAATTTTATCTTTACAAAAACATTCCTCAAGGAATATCATTTAAAAATTTTTACCTGGTATAAGTAAATCTGAAGAAAAATATAAATTTACTCTTTTCTGGATGTATTTCACTAATTCAAAGCAGCACTGGATTATAATTCATGACAGTATCACTAATCAAGGATAGATATTCTTTGACAACAGAAGTGAAAGCAGCAGGTTAAAAGGAAACTATTCAATCAGATATTTAATTTAGATAATAACATTTGACACTGTATTTGATGTTATTACATACATGTATAAAGGAAATTTAGCTTAATGAAGTAAACGTCAAGAATAATAATAATAATGATAACAATATTGACTGAAAGGTTGCTGAATATGTAAGTAAATAACAGAATTGAAATTCGATGAGTGAAAGTCATCAGATTGATAAAAAGTGATTGAAAATAGGTGATGAATAGAATTTTTTCAAGTCTTTGATTTTAATTAAAGTAATTAATTGTTACATAAAAACAGGCTTGATGTGATATACCTGTTGCGGATGTTAAAGCCCCCAAAACTCATTTGATAAAGGTCCTAATTTTGGATTTTATGCTTTGGCACATGGGCTGATCAGTTGACCCTGATATTGCATATCCCAACCCGGAAAATCCATGACTGTCATTGGTTGATGTGTTATTTTAGTACGTTATTTTTGCGACTCTCCCAAGGACGTTTCTATGATGTATAAATAAACTCGATTTGTGTGCTTGTGTACCTCATATTTTCTGGGTGTTTGTAGAATGTACTTTCTACGTCTTATCAAGACTTCTTCCACTCTTTAGTGAGGCCTTGGGACTCTCGGATTAGAGTAGCCTATTGTGTCACTGGATCACTTGTCTTCGCTCTCGTTTACCGACTAAGGTGAACTCGTAATAGTTACTTAGAATGCATTAGTGTTATCATTATCTTGTTAATTGTTGTTGAACTTATAAAGAATCTCTTCTCACATCGCACAATACTTAATGAAGAATAGAACTGTATACAGATTTAGAACTGTAGTGCAAATCTCGAAGTTAAAAGACTAAGCTAAAATATTTGTCTCTTAATCTATGTGTAGAAAAATTCATTAAGTTTTACCTAAATTACACAAGTTAAACGTGATTAGTGTGTTAATTAGGTGAACATTTTGATCGACCAATAGCCTACATAACCATAAATATATAAGTTCTTCAGTATATTAAATTATCCAAGGGTATCATCGAAAGTTGAGTAATGAAGATCTAATGGTTTTCTTCATTTGTAACACTTCTACATGAAGATAGTTGGTAAATATCTAGTCCTATTTTGTAAAAGGGAATTTACAACGAATTGAACCAGTGATTATAGCATTTCTGTTTAACAATAAATTACTTTGGTGATCAAAAAGCGGTGATTATCTATTATTTTATGCACCTTATGTTACTACTATATTTTTATGTAATTTTATCCTTTCACTGTTGATTTTTATTTTTCACTGTCCCACTAGCCAATGTAGGTAGAAAAGGCTAAATTATCCAGCGAGATCATATATATTCAAAGGCAATTCACCACACACATACACTAGCAGTTATTATTTATGGGCATGTAGAAGTGCACAGTTTATGATTTTGCTTCCCCATAAAAAAAAATGTAGGCGTATGGACGTGTAACTTTGTGTTTACAATGATGCTTGCAAAGACTAGTCAATCGATAGTTTGTTGGTGGTAATGGTGGCCTTCACACACACAGTCTTCGAATTAGGTGACTGTAACCATTCGAACAAAAATCAATGAAATTATTTATCGAGATAGTTTAGGTCACATGTTATTTCTATTGACGAATGATCTTTTTTTGGCAAGGAAAAAGTTTATTCAACTAAAGAATTATCTAATAACAGTTTATTGAATAAATGTCCGATTGTATCCACATGCAAATTATTAATAAAGATGTACCATTTTAAGAAGATGACCTTTTTAATCGAAGCATAAAATATTGAGTCAAGATAAACTAGATATTTAAGCTTCAAATCTAATTGTGATAGAAATATATGAGATGAAGAAACGGTAACATATTTTCGTATTTCGATAGATGATAAAGTGAACAGGAACTAGAAATTTTGCTATTAGAAGGCCATAACTTTTGTTATGAATAATCAAATGTGCACATACCGGGAAAAAAGTAGACAGTAAAAAGAGTCTAGAAACTCCAAATTGATAAACAGCTTTCAATGTTTTGTATTACTTAAACCTTGGAAATTTAACATGAAAAATGTTGTTTTTTCCTGAGTGAAGAAAACTCAGGAAATTAAATTTTCGTAAGGGTACCTATCAATTGACACCAATAGGCATTGATCGATTAAGTTTAAGCGCTAACCAAATGCTAACAACTAAACTCACAAACTGAATATAAAATATGATACTGATTTTTGTTGTGACATTCAAGTTCAAAACTAGACTTTCAAAATGGATTGATTTAACATGGGCAGAATGTTAAAAACTGCTCAGTTCCACTTGAATTAGGCACTGATGATGTTACTTTGAAGGATGATGAAAGCCTAATAATTAGGCTGGTTAAGGACAAAACATTACCAAATCACTCATGGAATATACATATACATGAATTATGCAGATAGATGAATTTCGAATTACAGAATTACTGATCAAATCATGAAAATAATTAGAAAAAATTAAATGATCAAGAATGAATATAACAGTGATTAAACAGTATCCATTACTATTCATGGTTACCAATGAAAGCAGTATGAACTAATAATGGTTCACTTGTAAAAAGAACTCATTACATCATAAGTAAAATCTGAGTTTAAAGGTAGAAGAAATTTCTGTTAGCTCATGAGCGCGATCGATAAATATATCACCATATTAGTACTTTAATTATCATATGAGCAAATTATAAACTCTTTTAACACTGTGTATACATAAACTTTGAATTGTTTAAAATAACTATGTGATAACTGGTTTGTCATTTTCATGATTAACATTAAACCGACTGCGTTTCTTTTCATTACCCTTAATGATAAATTTTGTGGGTGTAATTAAAAATTTCAATAAAATAATGATAAGTTTAAATGTTCATGAAATATGTGCTCAGTTTGTCCATGGGTGCACTTTTTTTTAATTGGCTGTAAATCAATTCGATATAAAAGTTTATTAGTTGAATCTTACGGGAATCATTTAGTTTTGATTGGATAGGAAATTTTAATGACTTGAAAATCATTGATATTGAATGATCGATTGTTTTGAACTGCTTCATATGAATCACAGTATTAGTGTGATATCTCTACACTAACCAATTATTTTAGTGATACAATGTGTAACAAAAAGTTAGATATCTATCAATCTATAAAGTGGAGAATAATAGAAAGTATAAGTTATGAAATGACTTAAAATAGGAGCTTTAAAAAAACCAATGTAATTTGCCG